TGAGTAAAGTGTAATTACAATAAACTCTTTTGTCGCTCACCCTAAAACAGCTAACTATCTTGCAAATATTTTTAGTTTAATTTATTACTTTTACAAAATGGCTGACAGAACTTTCTTTACAATTGGGTTGAATTTTTCACAATAAAAAAGAGATTTAATAAGTATAAATGTGCTTCTATTCTAATTATAACTCTTGGTGATCATGGAGCATCGTGTGCTGTTCRTGGCATGCTGAAGGAGATTTAAATTCCATTCTATATTCACATCGGCTTGGTTCCGACACACYAGTTAGTTGAGTTTCACTGCCACAGGACAGTACAACCTGCAGGATAAATATTATTAATTGATCATCAATCTATCAGTTTTTTAATCAGTCAATTGACCAAAGAGAGAATTTAAAAGAATCATTTATGATGTKTACCTCAGTTGATCTATCAGGTCCGTTCCAGCAGTTTTGTCCGCCTTTGTATTTCATGCKCATGTACTTGGTAGGTTCACCACTCCATTCTCCCCATGTACTTTTGAAACAAATACACAAATGGATGAGCAGGCAGAAAAATGGATGGAAGGAAAAATGAAGTGATAAAAAAACGAATAAATGGATGAATGAATGAAGGAATTCATGAACAAATGAATAAATGAGATGGATAAATAGATGCATGAGTGAGAAACTAAATGAACAAATGAATGCATGAGTCTTTGAATAACAAGAGCTCCAATTAATGAATGGTTAGAAAGATGAAAAGTGCATGTATCATGGAATAAACTTAAAAATAAATTATCATCAGAAGAAATAACTTACCCAAGAGATGTTTCAGAGCCACCATTCTTTGGTTGCTGTGTTGCTTTGTCAAATGGGCAAAGCTTGTAAGTGTACCTAAAATAGAAAAACAAACTTTGTTTAACAAAATAGTAATAGTTAGAGTGATAACCATGTTCACCAATAGCAGAATCAAATCATTGCTATCAATTAACAACATATTACACCCATAAATAATGAAGGTAAAATGTAAAACTGCATGCAAGAGTTGTACACATATTTTGAAGTAAGTACTTACTCCCTATCTGTGAATTCAAAACATTGYCCAGAAAGAGGTAAGAACTCATCATGTTCTCCATAGTCCATTTCCAGCATTTTGTCAATGTCGCTATTTGATTAAACATCTYTTTAGTAATGATTTGAGTACCAAATAAAAAGGATTTCATCTTACCTAATTTCTCTTTCAATGTTTCTTTTGTCTGATTCGGCACTGTCAAACTCCTTTCTTGCTTTGTCAGCCACTGAAATTAATAAATCATTGCATTAGCAATCTTTCTAAGGCACTAAAAGTTAACATTCTTATCTCACCATCCATCTTGGCTTTGGTTTCTTCATCATAATCTGGCATCTTCAATTCTGCATCTAACGAGTCTGAAAATGAGATTCAATAAATGATTTCATTCAATTCACAACATCTTCAATAAATAGTCACTAAACCCCATTAAAAGGTCAATGATTATGACAACATTAATTGCAGTTAGTACTGCATGGAAACTGGCCACAATTTACTGTATTGTGGGAATGAAGTTAAGTCAAAATCTGAGTGATCACTTCCATAAAAAAAAACAAATTTCTATGAGACACTTCCATAAAGTTTATAAATAGCTCAAATTATTACTGCAGTAATCTTKCAATGTATTGTAGAAGTTTACAGTAGTTAAGTTAAAGTTTATCACGAAAACTTGCTAATTAATTCACAATGCAACCTTACCATCAGATGGYGTAGGAGCAGGAGTAGGCAAAACAGGCTCATTTTTTTCTTCTTCCTCGTCATCGTCATCATCATCATCCTGGTCACCCTCGACATCAGGGACGTCAGGGTTRTCRTCAATGTCCTCAGCAGATGGTGGGATAGGGATGGGAGGTTCAGTTGGCACTAGATCAAATGATAATGATGGTGATGACAATGATGATAATAATGGCAGTTGAATATTATTACATTGAATTATTTGCTGTACCCTGGTAGCTAGA